CGCCCCCACTGCCCCTCCCGCGCAGCGCCCACTTCGGGCGACCAGGCGGCCTTTCTCACTCGCGCGTTGGAGCTGAATTCTTTAGCCATCGACGAATTGCAGAACGAAATGTATTGCGCAGACTATAAATGGTCCAAACACGTTACACAAAAGACGACAACAAAATAAAACAATAGTAGTAATGGTGGCTGCGGAACGTGTTGCCTTGTGCACGCGTACACTGATCACTGACTTCTCTACTTACAAAAAATTAATTTGTTATTATCGCAGTCATTACTTCCTCATATTCTGCAGGATATCGTTAAGTCGTAGTAGTGCAGAAAACAATTACCAAGAGTTTCATTCTGTTTGAATTCAATGATTTTATTACCCAGTTCGTTTAAGTTTATAGATTGAACATTTTAAAATTTATTTTGTTGTAAACTATTTATGTAAAAACTGCAATATGTTGACCTCTGAGTGCACATATGTATAATGTGTATTTTATTCTTTTGTGAAATGCCACTATGGATTACAATGACCACGATTCTCCTTTAATTTATGTGTATGAAGAAAGGAACGATGGCTCCAACGACGAATGATTTTTCAACACGTCTGTGATGTTTACTGTGTGAACCTGAATGTATTTGAGTAGTAGTTTGCAAGGGGGCAAACCAGTGGAACTGCAAGATCACAAACTTTCTCGCATTATTTATAACTTTGCAATTTTAAAAAATTCAGAGTTCAATGAAAATGATATCCACGCTATTTTCCCTTCAAGCGTCCTTTCTTACATTTGTAAAAAAATATGGAAAAAAGTTGAAGCTGATTTGAGAAAATGTTTATTTTATAAATTGCATTTATTTTAAGCAGAAATTAAGCAAAAATTACTCTTCTGTTTTAAAAAACGTCCATAACCATTTACAAAGAAATTGTTGTAAAAGAGACTTTGTCAAAGGCCTAAATCACTATCTTCAATTTTGTACTTTTGACATGTCAACCTTTTGCAATTTACAAAAATGTGGAGTTTGCCGTAAACGGGACTCGCACCAGACTTTTTACCGTTTCTTGATACGTGAGAGAAAAAACTTAAAAGAAAAAAATTGCAGATATTTTTAAGAAAATTTAAAAAAAATGCCTGTGTTTCGAGCAAAATTACATGAAAACTACTCATATATTAAAAAACTTGAACACCACCTTGTTTCAAAACCTGTCTCTAAAGAACAGATTAAAGACAAAAGTGTCTGTCTTCAAAATTATAGTTGTTGGAAAACGCCCCCCAAAAATTGCACTTTTGCAATTGTCGAGAAACTGGGAATTTTTACACCGTTTCCTTAAGCGTATTTTACGCTATTCGAGAACAGAGTTTGATCAAAACCTTTGAATCCATTTTTGAGAAAATTAAGAAAAATAGTTTTAATACTTTATATACAGTACTCTCAAAAATATTAGTTTGAAACTTTCAAAGACTCCAGTTCGTCCAGATCGATCGGGAATATCAATATCGGAGAATATCGACGGAATGATTTAGACGCTGGAGTTGACCACAGACGGACAGACGTTTTGCCGTCAATAGATTTTTCGATATCCACAACTCAACAAACATGAATTCTGTTTCCGCACGTGCTTGAAGAAGAAATTTACAAGAGCTAGGAACCGGGTCTTCTTACATTCGTAAGGGAGAGAGAGTAACTAATGCGACGCCCACGAGTCGTACAAGTACTGCTACGGCAGTCGCATTAAGCCAACAAAGAGAAACAACGATTAATCAGAGAAGTTGATTCTGCAACATTCTTGCTCCTGAATTTATTACTCACATGAGTTAGTAGTTCATGGACACCGAATACTCTATCTTGCAATATTAGAACTATTTTAGTTTGTGTCAAGATGACAGACAATAAGTGATTGGAAAACATCATGCACCTCGATGTAAGAATTAAATCAGGTAATTAGAGGGTGCTTTCTCCAAAGTTGAGCACCTGAGATGGTTTTGTACCTGACGGCAATTTTCTTAAGGAATGAGCAAACTGGTATAATTATTTGGGTATTTTCAGATGAGAAATTGTGATGAAAAGGAGAACACCATCACTTTCCACTGAATTTATTTAATAAACATCCGTGACGAAGACCTATATTTCCTTTCCAAACGATTTCCATCAATAACTAGAAGACCACATTTTTCCTCACAATATTTGCAAGTGATCCGCAATATTAAATTTCCAAACCACCATGTAAAAGTGTTCCAAAAAAAACAAAATGTTTGAACCGTGCTTTAAATCAAATCCGTGTCCATGGAGATAAATCGACGTGCGCTTTACTACACCAAGCCAACGATTGGCTGTACTCACTTTTGGCGACGCTTAAAAAGCGAATGGTCTCTCCCATTATTTCAACCAACATTCAAAAATTTGGAGGGTTCAACAACAATTAATCCTGCGTCATTTTCAGATGCGATTTGCATTAATTTACGCTAAACGAACAGAA